ACCCCTGTTAAACCAGATATCTGAGACAGTTAAACCTTTAGAAAGTAGCATGGTAGTTGCCAGGGGCCACAGAGGAAAAGAAAAAAGGTCACTTGTTAAATGGATATAGAATTTTACTTTTTTTATGTGTAGGATGGTCCTGGGGCTTTAACTTAGGGCAGAGCTACTGTCCCTGAGCTTTTTTGTTTAAGGAGAGTTCTAGTACTTGAGCCACAGCCCTGCTTTTTTGGTGCTTTCCTACTTGAGCCACAGTATCACTTCTGGCTTTTTTTTTTTTTTTTGAGCAGTTTGTTGGAGATAAGGGTCTCATGGTCTTTCCTGCCTAGACTGGCTTTGAACCACACTCCTCAGATCTCAGCCTCCTGAATAGCTAGGATTACAGGCATGAGCCACCAGCATCCAGCTGAAACAGGTTTAAAAATTTATTGGACAACATATCTATATTTGCCATGAATGTTCAGTATCTCTTAAATATAATTAAGATGATAAACTTTATGTCATGCAATTTGACTACAAGGAGAAAACTAGTACGGACCAGATATGGTGGTGCATTAAGAAGCTGACTTAGGAGGATTGAAAGTTCTAAATAAGCTTCAGCTACATAGTGATGAGTTCCAGGCTATACACGATGAGACTGTCTAAGTGGGGGAGAGGGGAGGGAGAGATTTCCAGTTTAAGATGTTCTATGGTAAGAAATCTCAGAATTCCTTTACAAAGTTCTAAGCTACATTTAGGAAACCAGCACAGGTTCAGGAAGATACTGTAACTTGAAGCTTTTTCATTATAGCTTCTACTGACAGTATCCTCTGTAAATTATAAACCATGGATTTGAACTCTTGCCAGGAGCTGGTGGCTCACATCTGTAATCCTAGCTACTCAGGAGGCTGAGATCTGAAGATCATGGTTCAAAGCCAACCCAGGCAGTAAAGTCTGTGAGACTCTTATCTCCAATTAACCACCAGAAAATTGGAAGTGGCGCTGTGGCTCAAGTGGTTAAGCACTCATCTTGAGCTTAAGAGCTCAGGGACAGCACCCAGGCCAGAGTTCAACCCCCACAAACAACAAAAAGAAAGGATTTGAACTCTTGATCTGGCGCTTTTGCTCATTGGCTGATGCTCTATTACCTGAGCCATGCCTCCAACCTCTTTTTTGCCAGTCTTGGGGCTTGAACTCAGTGCCTGGGCACTGTCCCTGAGATTTGATTTTTTTTTTTTTTTGCTCAAGGCTAGCACTCTACTACTTGAGCCACAGCACCACTTCTGCCTTTTTCTGTTTCCGTGGTACTTAGGGCTTCATACATGCTAGGCAAGCACTCTACCACTGAGCCACATTCCCAGCCTGCCTCCAACCTCTTAAGGATTGGTTGGCTCAGAATGGGTGTCTTGTTAGGCTTACATTAAAATATAGAGGTTGGGCTAGGGATTTGGTTTAGTGACAGAGTGCTTGCCTAGCCTGCATGGGGCCCTGGGTTCGATTACACATAAACAAAAAAATAAATAAAATTAATAAAATAGAATAAAACACATAGGACTTCATCAAGTAGGAGAGTTGGGGGAGAGGCCAGTTTAAAGCCAGGGAGGAAGGAAAAAGATGCAGGTTTGGCTGGCAAGTGGAGGTGGAAGATGGGAGGCCTATTAGCTAGAAAGACAGAGCAGGTAGAGAAGGGCCTGGTTAATAGGTGGTTTTAAACCCCTGGTGGATTTGAATGTTTGTATATAGTTGGGCACAGGCAGGTGTAGAGGCCAACACTGGAGCAAGGGAAAGCTGGAGAGGCACACTGGCTGGGGAGGGTGGGGTGAGTGAGGCAGATTCAGACCTGGGAGGGCAGAGCGCATGCTGGGCACAGCAGGGCAGAGGTATTTCACAGGTGGCTATGCAGCAGGGCCTCACCTGCAGCCAGTGGGGCTGATCTCACACAACCTTCCCTTGAACCCGATCAGGAAATCACCGCAAAATCCCACATTCCCATAAACTCAAGACAACCACAGTAGTAGGGACAGTGTGGGGGCAAACCACAGGGGCCTCACACAGCTGTCCCTGCCAGCAGGGGTCTTTAGCACGCACAGGGCTGGTAGGGGGTGGGAGTCTGGTAAGATAACATGGCTGTGGTCTTCCTAGTCATTTTTTTTTTTTTTTTGTCGGTCGTGGGGCTTGAACTCTGAGCCTGGGCGCTGTCCCTCAGCTCTTCAGCTCAAGGCGAGCGCTCTACCACTTGAGCTACAGCGCCACTTCCGGTTTTTCTGGTGGTTTATTGGAGATAGGAGTCTCACAGTCTTTCCTGCCCGGGCTGGCTTTGAACCGCGATCCTCAGATCTCAGCCTCCTGAGTAGCTAGGATTACAGGCGTGAGCCACCAGCGCCCGGCTTCCTAGTCATTTTTGTGGTGAGAAGCTGCAGGGTATAGGAAGATAGGTCCTGCTTTTTTGATCATTTACTGCAGCAAGACACTGAACATGAAGGGGAGATTTGGCAGGGTTGGCTGGGGGAAGGAGAGATGCAGAGGATAACTTCTGTAAACCCTTCCAGTTAGGTGCTGGAGCCAGCCAGGATAGATAGTATTTGCCAGGTCCAGCACTCTGTCCACCTCTCCAGCTAACTACTGATCATGACAATTGAATTTTAGGACAAACTGATTATAAGAGATCCCTATTTCTTCTGTCCCAGATCTAGAAATTTCTGAGACCAGTGTATTAGATATAGTCCTTCTGTCTCCAACCTTACAGGAATGTTAGTTACACTCTATGTTCTGCACACTGGTTTAAGAAATAGAGGCCAAAAAGCATTTCTAGCTGCTATTAGTTGAATTCTTACTAGGGGCCAGCTGTAGAATCACGCACACCTGTATTCCTAGCTATTCAGGAGGCTGAGATCTGAGGAAGATTACAGTTTGAATCCAGCCTAGTGAGGAAAGTCTGTGAGACTTTTATCTCCAATCAACCGTCAAAGAGCCATATAAATAGAACAGTGACTCAAGTGGTAGAGAACCAATTTTGAGCAAAAAAGCTTAAGTGACAGCACCAATGCCCTGAATTCATGCCTAGGACCTGTGTGTGTGTGTGTGTGTGTGTGTGTGTGTGTGTGTACAGTAACACAAAGTTACTGTATTTAACCTTGACAGAGACATATAGAAAAGTCTAGTGTCATATCCTATTTCACAGCTGTTGGCTACAGGATGTTAAGAACTTTTCTGGAAGTCATATAGCCAAAACTTGCTCTGCTGATACTGTAATCTGTTTGTCTGGCAACAAACATTATAGATAAGCCACTTGTGGCTCACACTGGTTAACTCTCTACAGCTAACTCAGCCAGAACTAGGGGCCAGGCACATGAGATGCTCAAATAGACCATAAATATGCAGGTACCCTAAATCCCAATGATCTAGCTAAATATTTTCATGCAGTACTTTTAGAAATCCAAATTAACAGGCTGGAGACGTAGCTCAGTGACAGAGCACTTGCTAGCATGCTCAGTGCTCTAGGTTTCCATAACACCCCATTCCCCCAACAAAAATCTATGATAAAATATCAAATTTTTAGATTGAGAGAGGATCCAAGCAATGACTAGGATTGGTGAAGTAGTTTGGAGGCATCTTGTGGGCTTGTCTCTTCAGAGCAGAATTCCAGAGTCTGGAGTTGGTAATGAGCCTCACACATGGCTTTCTGTCTTCTGCAGGCCCTTACAGAGCTGGCCTTCCAGCCTCCCCCTTCCCCCTAAGTAAAATCCCAAAAGAAGACCCTAATACCTGTACAATAAAGATTCCAGCAAGTGCAGGTGGCTCACACCTGTACTCCTAGCTACTCAGGCAGCTGAGATCTTAGGATTGTGATTCAAAGCCAACCTAGGCAGAAAAGTCCATGAGACATCTCCAGTTAACTAGCAAAAAGCCAGAAGTAGAGCTGTGGTTCAAGTGGTAGAGCACTAGCCTTGAGCAGAAAAAGCTCAAGGATAGCACCCAGGCCCTGGTCTTAATTAAGCCCCAGTGTCCTAGCATATGCATACATGTATTCTCTCTCTTTCTCTCTCTCTCTCTCTCTCTCTCTCTCTTTCTGTGCTAAGAGAAAAGTGCTTTGGAAAGCCAAGCAGGAGCTGTTGTCATTTGCTAGCTGACACCCTCCTCCCTGGCCTGGTGAACCTCAGAAGGTCCTTTCTAAGTTTAGCTTGAAGGGCATCACCCAGGGTGCTGTCAGTAGTGCAGGAGGGAGGTGGAACAGGAGGCTGAGACATGGCATTTTCTGGGCGAGGCAGGGACAGGGGACCAGACAAAAGGTGAACTGCCAATGAGAAGCTGAGATCATAACAAACCAAGCCTACCATACTCCCCATGCAGTCCCACACTTCCAGCCTGGCCTGGCCCTCACTGACTCTCCCAAGATGCCTCTGAGTGGGGTCAGAAGCAGCACTGCATTCCCTGAGGCTTTGGCATGTGGTGCTGTCCCCTAGGTCTGGGCGTGGCTCAGCACTGCAGGGTGATAACTCATAACTCGTCTTCCTCAAGCCCCAGCCCCCCCCCCCCCCCCCCCCCCCGCCCCGCCAATCAACCTCACGCCAGCTCTACATCTACTCCTCTGCCTCTGGGCTCATGTACTATATGGCCCTCCTAGAGTCCCAGCCTCGGTCCTAAGCCCCCATAAGCCTTGGGCCTTGGCGGTGGCTGTGGGTAACCATTTGGAATTGACCAGTTGATGGTGGGGAGATGCTTGACCCAGAGGTAGCTCAGCCCTGGCCAGGCTTTACCCCGTTAACCACGTGCTCCCCAAATCTGTATCTTCTCTCTGTGACACATTCTTCCCAGGACCCAGGAATGCTGGGGACACCCACAACCCTCATCATCAGAGAATTCTAGAACCCCTGGAGGAAGGAAGCTTGTTTCCTGCAACCAGGTAGGTTAGGCAAGCTACCTTCTCATCCATCTGATACTCAGAGAACTCCTAGGCTCAGAGAGTACAAGCAACTTCCCCAGGGTCTCACAGTACCCATATAGTACATTGCTTCACCACCTACCTGAGCTTTCCTTCTTCCGCCCAGATGATTTCTTCTCTGTTTCACTGCCTGTACTCGCAAGCACCCCGAAGTCCTCACCTGGTCCTCCTGTGGCATCTACCAGGCCTGGGCTGCTGGCCCCCATCTCCCTGGAGTTCCCAGCTGGGCCCAGATTGAGCCTTTGCTGGGCCTCAGAGACAGGGAAGTGCCAGTCAGAGGGTTGTGGAAAAGCAGGGTGCTGTTCAGTAAAGATACGCTCCTCCCGGGGCAGGCTGTGGGGGGTGGCCGCCAGACAGGAAGCTGAGAAGTCAGGGTATGCTGCGGTGGCTGTCGCTAGAAAGTCTGATTTCTGGTGGAAGGACAGTGGAGCTGGCGGGTAATGTGGCAGCCCTGAGGCCCCACCACCTTCCACGTGGGGGTTCCGAAGGCAGCCCCAGATGGGGACTGGCGGGTGGGAACTCTGCAGGCAACTGCTAGGTGCAGGATCCATCTGTACCAATGCCCCACCTCAGTCCTCTCAAACGACTCACTTGTTACAGTCAAATGATTTAAATGCAATAAAATAAAATAAAATAGGAGAGAAAAATCGTCGACAGAAACTTCACCCCAAGAATCAAAACAAAACCAAAAAAATCCAAACTGAAGTGTCACCTTCAAACACACATACACACGTGTCCAGCTACACACAGACCTGTGCTAGGCTTCTCTATGGCTTCCTGCTCCCCTCCAATACTCCAGCCTGACTTATTGGGGTCCCTTGGTTGTGTATTTGTCGCTGATGGCACTGAGCATTTTGACTGTGCCAAACCCCCGCACACCCAAGCGCTGTGAAGTGAGCTCTTCTGAGACCAGGAGCAAATGCCTGCAGAGGGGGCTGGCCCCACACTGCCGGAGAGACACACTTTTAAATCCTGCGGTGGGAGAGAGTGACAGATTTCTGAAGTGAAATGTGAGAGAGGAAAGGGAGGGGTTAACCCGCGCACACAAGGTCCCCTCCAACCAAAACCCGAGCAGGCAACTATTAATCATCAGAAACCTTATATGCACATCTAATGAGATTTGCAGATGGAGACTTTTAAAGAAACATTGTCTGTAATTTTTTTTAACGGAGAGAGAGAGCAACACACACACACACACACACATACACACACATACACACACACCTCCTGTAACACTATAAAGTTATTTTTATTACACTGTTAACAAAATTCTCCAAGTCTTGGGGAAAAAAAAAACAACAACCAAAAAACCCTAAGCCAAATCCAAAAATTCATCAAATGCCAAATTCCAGGGAACGAAGTGAGGGGATAAGAAAGAGAGACAAGCTTGATGACTGCATTGATTTAAGGGCCTTCCTACCGCTGCCTGTAAACTAGGCAAAGGAAGGTGAATTAAAGAAATCTGTTTTGCAAGTCTCAGAGGGCCACTAATGGTCTGTGGTACAAAGAAAGACACCCTTCAGAAAACCTTCCTTGTTCCCCCCACCCCTGCTGCCCAAAGTGACAGTCCTATTTTCTCCATAACTTAAAAAAGAAGTCATCTGCTTTTTTGTTGTACTCCAACGACCATGCCAATTAGCCATGCCCTTCCCTCTACCACCTCCACACCATTTTTCTCTACAGTAAAAGCAAGGCTCTTAAGACAAAGTCCTTGAAGTTTCTCTGGGCCTCTTTTCCCCATTTCTCCTCCCCCCAACCTCCACCTCTCCACCTGCTTTCCTTTCTCAATCCCTGATGGCCAGACCATCCTTGGAACCTGGTGTGTGGAGATCAGAATGGGGGTGGGATCCCTTGCAGTTCTCCATAAATGGACTTCTCTTTAGTAGACCATCCCATGGGTGTTTCTGGAAGTTTCTTGTCACTGGTAGGCCAGCAGAAGTAGCATTTCAATTGGTCAATTAGTCTACCTGCTGAAGGCTCCATGGAGTGTCTCCTTGATGTTCCAAAGACACAGGAGGCCACTGCTCCTTATGCCACCAAAGATTTCCAAGGCAGAGACAGGCAAGGACCTTCACATCAAGCATTCCTGTTGGCTGGTCCCAAAGACATCAAGTCTCCAAGAAGACAGGGACCAGAAGATGGCAGGAAGCACTCTGTGGACAGAGCTAGAAGTAGAATGAAGAGACAGAGAAGCCATGACTCATCTTTAACCCAGAAACTCCACCCGGATGTGCACCCTAGGGTGCAGGAAATGCTGTAAAAAGAAAGAAAAGAAAAAAGATGTGTGTGTATGTGTGTACACTTAATCAGAAGACCCCTCTTTTGGAACAAGTTTGCCAGGGGGCTATAGAACAGTAGACAGGGTGGGACCACACCCACAAACAAGATCCCTCTCTGCTTCTTCAGGGCTGAGCAGCTCTTCTCTGAGCCTCATACCCCACCTCTTGCAAGTAAAGTACAAAATATGTGTACATTATGCAGGCAAGGAAACTGAGGCTCAGACCATTGACCCGACTGCTCAGAATCTCACAAGACATCTGAGTATCCATTTGTCCTAGATGGAGGAAAGGACATAGGACTGGGGGTTGGGGAGAAGACAGGTTCAAATTCTGAGTTGGTCCTTTCCAGCTGTGTGCCCTGAAACGCGACCTCCCTTTTCTAGGCCTCTGCTCTCCATCTAGGAGAATAGTCTTACCTAGGGAATCCCCACCAAAAGCCTCTGAAGCAAGTGTTCTGCTCATTAATCCCCTCTCCCAGAAGCCCAGCAGCACAGAGAAATTATGTAACCCATCCCAGCTCACACAGCAGGCAGGTACTGGAGTACTATCCCTGAAGTATCAGTTCCTGCTCTGCAGACACCTGGGAATTTTAAATTCATTTGTGCAAAGAGAGGGCAGATACATGGGATTCCTTTTAGGGGTTCCAAAGGGACAGGCAGGAGTGAGGGATCATTAAGGGGATTCCATAGACACCTCCTTGGGAAGTCTTGGGGTTCTCTGCTGTGGGGCCCTGGAAGGAGCCCATGGGAGCTGGGAAGGAGGCGTGGGCCATCAGCCTCCCTAGGAAGAGCTTGGGAGCAGGGGGTGGGGGGGAGAGGGCTGGCCTGGTAAGATGTAACCAGATTCCCGCCTGGCTTACATCTGGTCCAGGGAGGCCCCCCCTTGGCCCTTTGCCCTGGGAAGGGGTGGGCGCTGGGTCATGGTGGGGTGGGTGGAAAGGTCAGGAGGGACTCGGGGCAGGGGGTATGTCAAGGGGAGGGGGCTTTGCACTGAGAACACAGGGCCTGGCATCCGGGAGCCCCAGCAGCTGCTGGTGTCTGTCAACCTCCTGGGGGTGCTGTGGAGTGGGGGTGGGGGGCTGCCACCTCTACATCTTCCTGACAGGTCCCTCTTCTGAGGCCAGGAAAAACAACAATCCCTCCCCTCTCGGCTACCCATTTGTCAGATGAAGGCTGGCATCCTCACCTTTAACCTCTGCAATGTCAGCGTTGTCCTGTCAAGAGCCCTGGGCCCCTGATGGATGGCAATGGCTGTTTAAAGAGAGGCCTGTGACCACAGCCAGGGAGGGTGGTGGTGGGGCTCAGGAAGGGAGGCCCCCTGGCTTCTGGTGTTTCTGGGGGTGGAAGAGGAAGAAGATGAATCAGGATGGCATCCCTGGGTGTGTGTGTAGGGGTGGGGGGCGGGAGAGCCTTGGCTCAGCTATACCCGAACCTTTGGGATTTCCCACATTGTGCATGACAGCAGGTGTGTCCTGGGCATGGCAAGCCTACTTCTGTGCTTACCTGTCCCCCCCACCTGTATGCTTGTGCCATGCCTGGAAGCGGAGGGGAGAGGTGACCAAGGGCTGACCAAGCCTGGAAGATACAGGTTCTAGGCATAGCCTTGTCTTTCAAGGGCTGCGTGGTCTCAGGCAAGTCATACTCCTTCTCTGGGCCTCAGTTTTTGTGCTGGTCCTGGCACTTGACCTCAGGGTCTGAGCACTGTCTCTGAAGTTCTTTTGCTCAAGGGCTAGCTCTCATGTTTGTCTTTTTGGTGGTTAATTGGAAATAAGAGTCTCACAAGACTTTCCTGTTCAGGTTGGTTTTGAACTGTGATCCTCAGAACTCAGCCTCCTGAGTAGCTAGAATTACAGGCTTGAGCCACCAGTGTCCAGCGGGGCCTCATATTTGTGTGTGTATTGGTACTTGGGCTTGAACTCAGGGCTTCATGCTCAGCTGGCACCTTACCACTTGAGCCACACCTCTACTTCTGTCTTTTGAGTGGTTAATTGGAACTAAGAGTCTCACCAACATTCCTGTTCAAACTGACTTCCAAAATCAATCCTCAGATTTCAGCCTCCTAATTAGCTAGGATTACAGGCATGAGCCACTAATGCCAAGCAATTGAAAACTTTTGATGCCAGCTGTTATTTGTCTGCTCCGAAGAGTACTGGCAGATGACAGAAAACAATAAAATTCAGGATGGCCTCATGCAAGATTGAGTGCTTGGAGTCACATGACTTCAGTCCCTAAAATTTGCAAGTTCAAACTATTGGAAGATGGACAGCCTTGGGAACAGTATTTGTAGTTCAAAGCATGCATACTTAGTGGTCGAGTGCTTGCCTAGCATGCATGAAACCCTGGGTTTGATCCCTCAGTACCACCTAAACAGAAAAGGCCAGAAGTGGTGCTATGGCTCAAAATGGTAGTGTGTTAGCCTCAGGGACAGCATACAGGCCCTGAGTTCAAGCCCCACAACCCAGAGAGAGAGAGAGAGAGAAGGGGAGAGAGGGAGAGAGAGAGAGGAGGCAGAGCAAGGTGCTGATGGTTCATACCTATAATCCTAGCTACTCAGGAGGCTGAGATCTGAGGATCCCTGTTCCAAGCCAGTTTGAGCAGAAAAGTCCTTGAGTCCTTGAGACTTCTTTTTTTTTTTTTTTTTTTAATTTTTTTTGGGGGGGTCCGGTCATGGGGCCTGAACTCTGGGCCTGGGCGCTGTCCCTCAGCTCTTCAGCTCAAGGCTAGCGCTCTACTGCTTGAACCACAGCGCCACTTCCGGCTTTTTTCTTTTTGCTTATGTGGTGCTGAGGAATCGAGCCCAGGGCCTCATGCATGCAAGGCAAGCGCTCTACCACTGAGCCACCTTCCCAGCCCCTCCTTGAGACTTCTATATCCAATTAACTAGCAAAAACCTAGAAGTGGAGCTCTACTATTCACATTCCTCTGTCACATCAGTGTTCCAAGTAGCCCAAAGGACACACAGACTCCCCATCATCCTCACTCTGCTCCATTAGAAGGAGGGTTTCTGGAAGTCCTGTTTAGCATCTGCTCTTTAGGCCCATTGGCCCATCTGACTGTGTGGGTCTGGAGAGGAGGCCGGGAAACTGGTGACCCAATCAGGCTTCCCACTTTCTCTTTCCTACCATACCTGGTGGCTGTCCCTTAGCTTTTTTGCTCAAGGCTAGCACTTTACCACTTGAGCCACAGCCACGTCCAGATATTTGGTGGTTAATTAGTGGTAAGTATTTCTTGGACTTTTCCTGCCCAGGCTGGCTTCAAACTGCAGTCCTCAGA